AAATCATTGTTTCTTGGTTTGTGTATTTCTTCAACGTATAAAAATTGCCTGTTAATCTTTTAAGTTTGCTAAATATATAATCTATATGCCTACCATATTTTAATTGATGGTCTATTTTAATTTCTAAGTACATTGTGTCATTTACTGTATGGTTTTATGGTTCAGTGGTAGAGCATTGGGCTATAAATCCGGAGGTCGGGTGTTCGAACCAGGGTTGAGGTGAATTTTTAAGGATGGAAGAGTAATTTCGACGTATCCACTTGATATTACCATGGCATTACACACACGCAAAAGTAGGTTTTAACGGTAGCGAATTCCTTACATCCGATCTAACGTTACGGCGTAAACGTAGTCACTGATTGCGAACCAATTCGAATCTGTAGAAGGACTATTAGTCCATCAGGCGTCAGAGACCGAAAATTGTGCGATTAATGAAATAGTTCCTAGGGAAGTTTTTTTTCGCCAATTGTTTCTTTTTATCATTACAAACGACCTCATAAAAAATTTCTTATAAAATTTTGACCCGGAAATAGGTTATTTTTTTATATATAACCCAAAAAAACGAGTTTTGTTTATGTTTTTTCAATATAAGTCGGAAACTAGTACTTTTATACAAAAAATATTTCTATAGGAAATTGAAGAGGATACAGTTCTCTATAATTATGTATTCAGTCTTTTTTATAGCTCTAGCAGTTTCGTTTACAGCTGATGATACATGACTCATGAGGTGCGGTAACCTTCAATGTTCGGTCTTATACCATACGAGTGATACAAAACGACACATAATATAATCTTAATAATTCACCAAATTATGAAAATATATCCCACAGAACAATGCAAAAGTGTTTTGAAAAAAAAAAAAATTTCTGGTATTATGTTACAACCTTAAAAATTTGAAATTTGGCCAATTAATTCACTGGAAAGTAAACATAATGTCCTCTTCCATGTCTTTCTCTTCTTCAGACTTTGTTTCATCGATAGGGGATAAAAAAAACGCATTGATATTTTCTTGTGCTTTTTTATGACGGATTTAGTAATCAAAGTTATTGTCTCATTTTTATAACATAAAAATTTGGACAAAGTCATAGCTAAAAGTCTAAATACAGAATACATTTTTGCCCATCCCTACAGGCAATAATATAATTTCTTTAAAGCGAATACTATTCCTAAAGCTTCCCTGTCGACCGTACCTATAATAGTTTATTTCTAATGCTATTAGTGCTCTTGATGTGAATGCAATAAGTTTTCAACATAATCTAAATATGAGAAACCACAGTCATAGGGAGCTTGGGTTGAATTTTATCAATGCCTTGTAGGTGAATTTTGAAATGCATGATCCAGGAGAGTCCTAATAAATGAGGAATAACATTTCAACAACTACAAAGTACTTCTTTAGATTTTATATTTTTGCCTATTGAGCTTATACTTTGGTTACTTCAATTGGTGTAGCTTACGTCTGTGTATGAGGAAAATCTAACTTTAGTACTTTGTAATTTTATGTTAGAAGTCTTTGGAAATGTCCCATAGGCAATCATGTATGTCTTGATCCGGAATCTAACTCAAACTTGTGAAATTTATTGGAAAGTTTATCAAGGCTTCTTATCGTTTTTAATTTTTTCTAAAGTTCTCTAATTTTTACCACGTTTCCCTCAAGGCCACCGCGATTACTTCTTGACAAATAAAATCGTCCTTCATGTTCTAAGCGAGATTAAGAGTATTTTCCCAGGGGTTCGGTTAAAAAAAGTGCCAGACACACTTAACGTGAACTATACAGCTACTAATGCGCTAACAAACACACTTATTTCATAATTAAATTTTGAATGGATTGCGTTACCAAAATAAATTCTCTTGGCATGTTGTGCTTCCAAAGATTTGTACCAAGTTACCGCCCGAGGTGGGAAAGTTCTGATAATCTACCCTCCTTTCACGGCACGTGAAACATCGCTGTATATTTCCAAAAATTCCTAATATAGATAAAAAGAATATGTAAAGCAGAGTGCATGCGAGAGCGCATCGGAGGTTATCACCACCTTTCATATCGGATGGTCGCGAATTTATGGGATCTACAAAAAAAGGTAGAGATAAAATGTTGAAAATTGTCTTCTCTTTATTTTCATATATGAGTATTTTTTACGTAAAAACCATAGTTATTGAGTTATTTTGCAATAAAACACAAAATAGTTCCATTTTTTTTAGTCAAACTGAAAAAAAATATACTTCCGGGCCGAATTTTTGGAAGAATTTTATATAGTATTGTTCATGACGATAAAACGAAGCAATTGCGATGCGATATTTTGAAAAAAATAAATCGTTTCGCAGATATTTCAAAAAAGTGAAAATCGCCATTTTTAAAAAGTTCAAATATTTTAGTAACAAAGAGAGCTATCGAAAAAAGTTTCAAATAAAAGTTTTGAAGATTGAATGGGATAAATTCAATGAACGTAGAAATTTTTTTTTTAAATGGCGGTTTCCGAGATATTGGCCGTGTCGATGTATAAAAATAACAAAGATAGTCATGCTATCCTATTCAAATTAAGACAGGAACACTTTCGTAATTTTATTATGATCGATTTCGACCAAACTTTAAGAGTTGGTGTAACTCATAAATAGGTATCTCGGTCAAGTTTGTGAATCAGCGAAATCTACCTACTCCTGATCGGCCGAACCGAAAGGAATTTTATTAATTAACCTTCAGTCAAAGAATACTTTGCTTCAGTTCAGGCTCAACTTTAATGGACCGGTTCACTTTTATAAAAAAGCAGCGTTTTAACAGGTTCTAGGGGCATTTCAGACAACATTTGGCCAAATAGGCGTTTTTTACTAATTTGGACCTGCTGAACACGAATATCGATGTTGGCATCTCGAAATCTGAACCGGAAGTTCAGAATTCAAGATGGCGGCCAATTTCCGAAATTGTTGATCTTTTCACTCATGCGACCGATTTTTCGATCTAAAAACAGATTATAATGTTATTCCTGACGGAGGTACGGCACGATAATAATAATGAACAACTGTTTAAACAATGATTCCATAGTTTTTCTAACGTCAAAGTGCGTAAAAGTGGACACCTTTTTTTCATAGTACCTACTGTATGGCTACTGTTTAAATTTGTTCACAGCGTGTAATTATTAAATTATTTCTGTTTTGGGCAAGCATTTTGGTTCCTGTGCGTCGTGTAATAGATATCCGCGATGTTCCATTACCTCACATATGGAAGAATTTCCTTTCTTTACAGGAAAACAAAAGAAACGAGTTATTGTCGCATCACCTTGAAGACGCCTCATTTGACGGCGCACGGGTGATTGCTAGAAGCTTCAATGACGAAAGAAAAGTTTTCTGTAACCGTCAGACGACACAGCTTTCCTCCTTAGAAGCTTTTCACAAGGAAGCGGATACTAGGATAACGCTACAGATACAGATGTATTTCTGTTGCTTCTTAATCACTTCGAGAAAAAACTGGCAAACGAAGTTTGGTTGCTGACCGGTACTTCAAGAAAGATATGGATTTGTTCCTATCCATAATGATGTGCAGAGGAACTGGCCAAAAGCAGTAGTAACGAATATCCTGTCCTTTTATACGCTGTCATAGGAAGTGATTATTTATTTTTGACCTTTATTTTTAAGCAGGAGGGGTTTCAGGCAAGGCTGGTCTACCAACCCAACCCAATAGACATTTACAAATGTCTATATCCGAACCCGGATGTGAACCAGAGTGTTTCAAAAGCGCCCTTCTTTACTGTTCACGCTGGGTACCATACTCCTCAGCGAGAAGATATATCTTTTGCAAAAATCTTCGTGACAAAATTATACAAGGTTGGTATCATAACTAGGTCCATGAAACTTCACTTGTTCAGAGTATCGACTTAGCCCGCATATTTTAGGTGGCGCCTTTTCTTCTCTTTAAGTAGCCGATACCATAGCTTCCACCGACGTTGCGCGTCCCGCTTAGTTCGGTAGGGAGAAGTCGTTACCAGACGTCCGTTTGGAAGAATGCGCACGTCCCTTGCCCCATCTCGGTTAATCAAGTAGGACTTCCCAAAGTGGAGAAACATTGCCAAGTTTCAGGAGCTGCGAAGCTTTAGATAAAACAATTCTGAATTCCATTCTCTTGGGATTACATCTAATCTTTTCTAACACTTCATCCATTTCCATAATTACGGCATATCAGGTGTAAATCTCAAGAGGTTTGACCTTAAACTCTGAAATGTCGCCCAAACTAGCATATCTATCCTTGATTACCTGGGGAAAGAATTGAAAATGGCTACATCCCCATTCACACAACGTTAGATTAATTCCGAAGGCTGCTCTAGATATCGTCCTTTGTGGTTGTAAACAGGATTGCTCGTCAAAACTTTGTAAATGTCGCAAGGCTCAGTTGATTTGTACTACTATTATCAAGAAGACAATTGACCTAACACCATGAAAATAAGATAAATTTGCCTTCACTTTTCTATATGCTTTCATACTTTAATAATAATAATATATCCTGAGTAACGGTAATTAATACCTAGCAAAATAAAAATCTTCCGAAACACCGCAGTTTAGTTGAACTCCTTCATTTTTTTCATTTGAAAATTAACGTAAAATTCAAAAGATTGTAGTTATCAAAACTTTATAAGGAGAATTATGCAATATAAACGCATGTCGGGAATATTTATTATGCAATATTTACGCATCCTGTCGCTAAAAAAACTATTACATTATTATTAAAAAAATAGTTAACTATTATTATCGTGACGTACGTCAGGAATAACATTATAATTAGTTTTTAGATCGAAAAAATTGGTCGCATGAGTGAAAAGATCAACATTTTCGGAAATTGACCGCCATCTTGAATTCTGGACTTCCTGTTCAGATTTCGAGGTGCCAACATCGATATTCGTGTTTAGCAGGTACCAATTAGTAAAAAAAGCCTTGTTGGCCAAATGTTGTCTGAAATACTTCTAGGGAAACTTCGAAAAGTGAACCAGTCTATAAACACTTTTTTAAATGTAAGAAAATAGTAAACAAAGGTGTTTTTAATAAGTAGGTAACTACAATTAGCGAAATTCTACAACAATACGGGGGGATTACGGGCGTAACCGATTCTTTGAAGTGCCTTCGCTATATCCTTAAATGATGAAGCGTTTTCTACAGTTGCAGGAATCTAAAAGTAGATTAATATTATATGTATGGGCTGTCACGACTACCTCGAATAATTGATCGTCCGCCAATTTAGAGACTAATTTTCTGCAAGCTTTTCCGGACCTTGTTCGTGGTAGCTCTTTGACAGCCACGCACAAATGAAGATCCGCTATCGGGCCAATTGATTCACGAACTTTACTCACCAACTCCTTAGCAAGGGTACTCTCGCTCTTATTGGTGTCTAATACAAATTAATTTTAGAAAATGGTTTATACAGGGTGTCCCGTGATTCGATGGACACAGCTTAACACCATTATTCATTGGTCAATTTTAAGTCGAAATCGCCTTATATACTTTGTTCAAAACTCAATTATTAAGGAGTTACGGGAAATATTAAGTTTAACAATAAATCAATCTAGTAGTCATGTCATTGTTGTGTCACATTGTTATGGTGATATTGTTTATTCTTGTGACGTTGTAATTTTAAGATTAAATTGATATGTCTACGTTTTCAAATCAAGAATATGCGGATATTCACTTTATTTACGGATACTGTGACGGAAATGCCCGGACGGCAGTGAGGGACTATCAGCGGAGATCTCCTGAAGAATGCCTAAAACGCCATATCAATTTAATTTTAAAATTACAACGTCAAAAAATAAACAATGTCACCATAACAATATGACAAAACAATTACATGGCCTACTGGATTGATTTATTGTTAAATTTAATATTGCCCATAACTTCAAGTGTATAAGGAAATTTCGACTTAAAATTTACCACGGAATATGGTGTTGAGCTATATCCATCGAGTCACGGGACGCCCTGTATAGATGGGTTTATTGGGTTACTACCTTGCCTCATTATAAACAAGCACAGTGGGGTTTGTCCTTTTATGGGTTCCGAAACTCCCACGACTGCTGCGTCAGTGACATCAGGATGACTCATAACTACATCTTCTATCGCAGCTGTAGAAATTCGATGACCAGCAACATTAATTACATCGTCCACACGGGCTGTGATGTACACATATCCATGTTCATCGATGTAACCTGCATCCATAGAATCGTAGAAACCCTAAAAAGACCATGTCGCACATGTTTACATTACCGCGCTAAAACCTTACCGGGTACCTCCTAAAGTACGTTTTGCAAAACCTAGAGTAAGCTTTATATAACGTACTGAACGTTCCCGGCGGTAAAGGTAGCTTAATGACTACATCTCCAATTTCGTTTGGTTTAGCTTCGGATCCATTTTTTGACAGTACGCGTACTTTAAATAATTATTACTTGGTAACGTGTCTTGAATGCATAAGTACAACAAACCATCGTAACCTGCAAAAGGCAATCCTACAGTCAGCTTTGGCGGATGTAAGTTGTGATCCAATCCAGCACATGTAGCTGTAATAGGATAACCAGTTTCTGTCTGCCACCATTGATTTAATACTGGAACACCAAATGCATCTTCTGCCCACATTTTTGTTTCGTGATCTAAATGTTCTCCTGCCAAAAACAAGCACCTTATGCTACTGATGTCATATTGCTTGCCAATAATGGTACATGGATCTTCACGTTTAATAACACGTAGAGCTGTTGGAACCGTAAACATAGCATTTACTTGGTATTTTTCTATAATGCTAGTAGAAGCGTGAATGATCCAAATAAGAATAGATACTACGTTTATTACCGAAAGTATTGGCCGGCATCAGGAGTTCGAATTGGCTTTCCTTCATACAAAACACTTGTTAATCCGCATACTAAAGGTCCATAACACATATACGTATGTCCCACTGCCCATCCAAAATCGCTCGTCGCCCACCAAACGTCGTCATTCTCCATTCCGTGTATAGCCTTCATAGACCACGCAACTGGTACTAAATGACCAACTGTCCTTTCTACACCTTTTGGTTTATCTTACAATACAATAACGGACGAGATCAGTTGGAAAAATAGTTATTTTGTTTTACCTGTAGTTCCCGATGTATACAAAATGTATAACGGATCATTGGCTTTAATTGGAACACATGGATGGGGATCGCTACTATTTAATGCATTATCCCACGATATATCCATATTTTTATTTAATACCGATTTCTGGATGTTACCTCGCTCAAGGATTATGCATCTGCGTGGCTTGAATGAGCTAATCTTTATTGCTTCATTAAGCATTTGTTTATAACTAAAACAAATTGTTTATAGTAAACGCCTACTATGTTCGAGATATTTACTTAATTACTTTACCAGGTTCGACGCCACAACTGGCAGCGATGACTACCTTTGGAGTTGCGTGTTCTATACGGAGGGCAAGTTCGCTAGCAGCAAAACCTGAAAATTGCATCGTTGGGCTTTGCATCCAATCCAATATATACACAATATTTGCCTTTTTGCAAAATTAATAATGAAGTTGTCTACAATGTATGTGATTTTTTTGAAAAACAAACCTTAGACGTGAATATGAATCTCTTGGTGGTTGTTGCCAACTATGTTTCGGGATACAATTTGCACCCTCGAGATTAAAACACACACTTGAGTTCCTTAGCATATAATATATTATTACGTACCTCAGAAGCAAGATTAGGTACATCGGATGGGAGATCAAAAACAGAAATAATAAGCCGAATAAGTCAAGGTGAAACCGCCTTCAACAACAAGCGGAAAGTTTACCTCCAACAATATTATTGACTTGCATCTTAAGAAACATTTGATAAAAACATTTATATGAAGCATTTTATTGTATGGAAGTGAGACTTGGATAAGGATTGTTAACATTTTTAACCAACTGAGGTTGACGGTGGATCTATAGCTGTGGTTTAAGAGGGGTTTGGTCAGGTGGATCTGACAGGTCACCCGCGATTAACGGATTTGATAGGTGTGTACCTACCTTTAGTTACACTACAAATTTTATGTATAACAATGTCATTTCATAGACGATTCAACATTGCGTACCTTAACGTTGGCGGTACATAATATCAGTGTATAAGTTAAGTAGGTACATGGTGTCTTATGTCGCGTGGTTTGCAAGAATAGATTTAGTAACCTTAAAAATCGAAAATTGTCAAATGGGCAACGTTTTGCAATTTTATATGCCGACTCATAGTCAGACGAGATTGAAAATTATTTAAAAACTGAAATCTGACTAGTTGAAAGCGATAAATAACTCCGTCATGTTTGAAACCGAATATTTTAATTTTCTTATTTCGATAAGGGCTACTAACATTGCACTCTCTATACTAAATAGTCGAAATATTGATATTTAGGTACATGATTTAATTTGACAGCAGTTCTAATGATATCGTACTGTAAACCGTCTACTAGTCGTCTTATTATAAAATGAAAGAAAAGCGTAACTGTATGTCAAAAGTGCTTTCATTGCGAGGTTTGTATTTGAATTTGTCCAAATTTAACTAACATTTTTTCCCTGCAGGTATGTGCTAGCAGGTATAAGAAAGTAATTACCTCCAAACACCACAGAGTGTATGGCCCCCAGCCGAACAACTGCTAACATGGCTATAATAGTTTCAGGTACGACTGGCATGTATATTACAACCCGATCTCCTTTCCTTACGCCAAGCTTATTGAGTGCACCAGCCAAACGAGAAACCTGCAGTTTTAGGTTAAAGAGGCATTTCAAAACGTTTTCTACCTTATCCAGTAGCTCAAAATAAGTTATTTTCTGAACGGTTTGGGTTAGTGGACTATCGTGAATCAAGGCAACTTTTTTCCCTTTTCCTCCATGTACATGACGATCGACGGCGTTATAACAAGCATTCAGTTCTCCCCCAACAAACCTAATTTAATTGTCATTTTTGTAAATAACATTCCTTTATTCTTACCATTTTGTAAAAGGCTCATTAGAATTATCCATTACTTTCGTCCATGGTTTAGTCCAGGTTATAAGTTCTGCTACCTCACCCCAAAATTCTTCGGGTTTTTCGATAGACCTCTTGTGTACTTCATTATACTTCGGGCTCCGGAAAGTACCTAAGGATACATTATAAAAATCTAAAATCTACCGTGCAAGTGGATGGGTACAACATATACAAAGGGGTGCATCTAAAACGACCCATGCTTAATAAGTAGGGATCGAAATATGCGTAACTTAGTAAACATATGACCATCTGGGTTGGAGTAGGAGGCAAAGAAAATGGTCACTTGTTTCCCTCTGTACGCTTTATCCGCCTGACTAAAAACTATCACGTGCGACTGGAAGCCGAACAACAAAATCATCACAGTAGTCGGGCATCTACACAACGCAAGCCGCACAGTTACGAAAAAACTCACGCCACAACAGCATTTGCAAATAGTCCAATTTTTGCCGAAATGTAAAAATCAAATTTTATGAGTCCCATAATCACAGCCAGTTTGTTCTTTGTCACACGGTAATGCGAAAACAAAGAAGTGTTCCCCATGGTTATACGTTACAGTTATACCTTAGTGTAAAGCTATTCTTACACTATGGTTATACCTACAAATGTTATCTCATAGGGTTAACAAATTTAGATTTATTTTTTTAATTTATTATTAATTTTCTCCAAGCTGAGGAAACACTTAGCAGGTCGGAGATTTGCCTGCTCATCAACTGAAGGTTGCTGTTAGTGAATACCAAAAGAGTTTTGTAAAGTACTTTTCCATTTGTTAATTGCAGAAACGGGGGAATAAATCAGATTGAAAGTAGATATGTGTAGTCCCTTCGTACGTAATTGTATACCGGGTGGTGCACGGTAAGTAGGGACATAGGGATTTAACATGGGAAATTAGTTTTATGCAATATCCTGCCCTCTCTTGTACATTTTACAGAAAAAACTGTAGAGTTTAAAGTTGTTCAGAATTAAAAGGTGCATTCAACACTGTTTTTACATGTTCTATTAAGCTATTGATATAACCGAGAATTTAAAATAAGTTTCAACATTTCTGTTATTAGTAGCAATTCATAAAACAACAAAAGTTGCTTGTGATCAATTCTATGCTGTTCTGTACGAGTTACTTGATATTTACGTTCCACGATGCTTTTATGCGCCATCTTACTATCCAAAATGGTTTACAAAAGACATTATTAGAAATATTAATCTAAAATCAAAATGTTTGAAAAAATACCGCACATACAAACGTGACCAGTATTTAACTGCATATAGAGACATACGCCGAATAATAAAGAAGCAAATTTCCAATTCCTATAATTCATATATGCATGTGGTAGAAAATTCTTTTAAAGTTAACGCCAAGCAGTTTTGGACATTCATCCGAGAAAAGAAATCTACTCCTCGTATTCCAGGCATCATTCAATACGGTGGCAAGGTATTCTCGTCACCGAAATCAATTATTGAAGTGTTCAGTGAATACTTTAGTAGTGTATTTGTAAATATTCCCTCCAACACCCAGGATAGTTTAGAAGATTTCAACATGCCAAATATTAACGTTTCTGTCATTTCCGAAAGTGAAGTCAAAGATGCCATTAATAAATTAAAAGCTAAAACTACTGTTGGTAAAGATTTAATCCCAAGTTTTCTTGTAAAAGATTGCAGAGACGTTTTTGTAAAACCATTGAGTCTAATTTTCAGTACTGCTATAAGGACCTGGGTTTTTCCCGAGATATGGAAAGTTGCTAATATTACTCCTGTCCTGAAGAGCGGAGATGCTAACAACGTTGAGAATATTATCGCCCGGTTAGTCTATTGAATAACTTCAGTAAGGTGTTTGAAATCACATTGTATAACAAAATATATTGTAATGTTAGGAATATAATTTCGGAGTGTCAGCATGGTTAAGCAACTTAACATGTTTCAAGCAATTATGTGTATCTGAAGTATTGGATCGAAGACGACAGGTAGACGTTATCTACACCGATATATGAAAGGCTTTTGATCGAATACCACATCAAATCTTAATTAAGAAGCTACGTCGCTACGGATTTCATGAAAACTTTGTACGTTTACTTCAGTCGTATCTCAAGAATCGTGTTCAAACTGTTACATTTAATAATTTCACATCGTCACCGGTGCATGCAACTTCAGGGGTTCCACAGGGTTCCAACTTAGGTCCTCTCTTGTTTTGCTTGTTTATCAACGATGTAGCTGACGTTATCTTCTGCCATAAGTTACTATACGCAGATGACTTGAAGATATACTCTATTATATGAAGTGCTGAAGACTGTTTACAACTCCAAACAAACGTTAATGCTTTAAGCAATTGGTCTTAACGTCGCGAAGTGTAAAATAGTTTCTTTTACCCGTACAGTGCGCCCAATTCAGTTCGACTACACTATTAATGATGCAAAATTACAGCGTTTCTTCTCAATAAAAGATTTAGGTGTCACGTTTGACACTAAATTTACTTTTAGTGACCATATCAAAGATGTCTGTCATTCAGCAAATCGTATGCTTGGATTTATAATTGGAAACAGTAAACACTTTTCTAATCAATTAGCACTTCGATCGTTGTACTATAGTTTAGTGCGTTCTAAAATTGAGTACTGTTCGCTTATATATAATCCGACATACACGGCCCATAAGAATGCTCTTGAATCTATACAAAGAAAATTTCTAAAATTTTTGCACTATAAAACTTATGGTACTTATCCTGTGAGAGGTTTTGATCACAAAGAATTGTTGCATATGTTTCAATTTCAATCATTAGACACTAGGAGAACAATTATGTAACATTTCTATTTAATCTACTGCACAATCATATTGACTGTCCTGATCTATTGAAAGCTACCTCATACCAGTGTACGGAATACAAGTTCTAGAACATTTCACTACAGCACTCTCCGCACAGAAATTCTATTTCAATCCCCTATTGTCACTATATGCCGTCTTTTTAATTCGATAAGCCAACGCTGTGATATCAACAATTCTAGCTTGCCATCAATATTGCAACAATGTTTACATTGATTTTTTGTATTTTATTGCTTCTTGTTTTTCATGTTATATACACAATACGGAAATGCATTGTTTTGTCAGCATTTTTGTTTCGATTTTCTGTGGGTACCTAACCTGCATTTTGTAAAGTAAATCTTTATTTACTTTTCTAATGTTAATTTTGTTTATTAGAGTTTTTTTATGTTAATTATAAGTTTACTAATTTAGTTATTATTTTTTTTTCTTCAGGGGGGGAAATGCAATGACGCACTAAGTGTGGGGCTGCCCCAGATACCGGGTATCCCCACTAAAACCCCTCCTGAGGCATCGACTAGTATGGTCATTTGCCTTATTAAATATATATAGGTATCAGTGTAAATTAGATTTTAGATATTAGGCCAGTATTTCTAAGATAAATTATAACTGCTTAACATTGATCTTTATTTGTCAAGGTTTCTATTATTTCTTCACTCAGGTTACACCGTACTCTTTCTACATTGTATTTGGGACACACACAAAGTACATGATCTACAGTTAGGTTGACTAAACATTGTTCGCATTGGGGAGGATCTTGACTCGTCAAAATAAATGAATGCGTGAGGGAAGTATGTCCCAACCTGAGCCGATATATCTTTTCAAGATTGTATCTTCCCTTAATTGGTAAGAATATCGGACCCACAACCTCCTTGAACTTCCTTAGGAACGCTTCCGATTCACTCCACTGCCCGTTCCACATTTCCCATATTCGATCTTTAACTAGGGACCGACGGGCGTTCTTGGATAGTTGAGACATGTCTTCGGCTATCAGGTTCAATTCGGTCATAATTTCTTTGGCTCTCACAGTCAACGATCGACACCTAGTTAAACGCGCACCTTCTATTACATCAACCATTCCGTGATAGTTCGGGTGATTCCTATCCAGCGAGACTTTTATGTAATAATTTGCTGCTATTTGCTTTCTTCTAAGAGCAAGAGGGGGAATATTAGCCTCGACATGGAGAGATACGACTGGAGATGTTGGAAAGGCGCCAAGTAAATATCTTATTGCCAGGTTTTGAATTTTGTCTAGCCGTCCCAACAATACGTTACTACAGGTAGAATAGACGTGAGATCCGTAGTCTATACGGGATAAGATCAAGGCTTTATATATGTCCAGCATGGTTTTAGGGTGGGCTCCCCATTTATGATGAGCCAGGATGTTTAGTGATTTTCTGCAAGATACTACTAAATTTTCTACATGTTTCGTCCATCTGAGCTCGCTATCATACGTTAAACCTAAGAATCTTATATCATTAACAACATTAATGCAACTTTTTTCTTTAAAAATGTACTATCATTTTTGAGGCACTTTAGAAGTTCACCTTTATGTGCTTTACAGGTGATTCTTTTGAGTTCTAAGTTAGGCTAAAAGTAGTTTTCTGTTGAATATTGTGATAATTAGCGATTTATTTTAATACATAAGTTAACAGCACAAAATTGCTTATTTGCCAATTTACTTAAAATTTTGCGGGATCCCGTAAATACTGGGATCCCGCGGGATTAACATCTAACGATCCCGCAAATATCGGGATTGACATTTTGCTGCGGGATTGCATTTCCTAGTTATTGTAATTTTTATTATCAGAAGAATGGTTTCGCGTTGCTTTTTGCCACGCTCAATGCAAAACTACGTTTCATTGAAGATTTATTCGCTTCTTGCGAGTCCCATCGTTCAATTACGGTCAGTTTATTCTTTATTTAACATAACATATTAACGACTGCTTTCGAACGCTCATTCACTTACCAAGTTGCCAACCTCTATAACGGATTACCTCGTTGCATCTCCATACTTCCCGCTGCCCAATTCAAACGTAAAGTCAAACAAAAACTACTAATGGCCACTTAGTGTCCTTCAGATTATTATCTTTCGTGTGAAATGAAAAATTTTGAAAGTCATGTTGAGTTATATTTATCTATACCGCCATATATTTTGTTTTCGCCAGAATGTGTATGTCCTATCGTGGGGTTTAGGTGGAAGAGCAGCTACAGGGAAGCTACCCCCTGTAACTGAATCTCGCCCCGCATTTAATTTTCATATATTTTTTATATATTCTTTCTTAATGCAATAAAGACTATTTATTATTATTATTATTATTATTATTATTTGAAGCTTCAGCCAGCATCGAGTGTTCGTTGAATGTGAGATTGAAGATTGAAGAAGTTCCGTTTGTGAAGCAGGAAGCCGAATTCGCGGCTAATTATTTTTCTACGTTTGTTCGTGCCGAAGTTTCTGTTGTCTTACCGGATGGAGGATTGTCGTAAAGTTTAGGCCTTCAAAGGTGCTGCAAAGAGAGGTGTTTGTCGACCCTTCCTAATTTTGTTTCCAACGTGACTCAGTTTGAAATCGAGTTTCTTTGTGAACGTCCTTATGTACCCTTTTTAGTTTATTTGTAATAATTGTTTGTGTTTTTGTACCATTTTCCTTTTGTGTGTTAAGATTAAATCGAACCAACCTTCACTTATTTGTAGGTTCTTATGTGCATCTCGTATTTTACTAATTTGATCTATTCAATACATATTGATAATAAGTCCCGAACTCTCCTAAAACTGTTCTCACTTTTGTACCAATTTACGGTTTGGACTTTCAACTCTAAAGTAAGCATTTTGTTTAAAATTGTGACAGCTGTCAATTTTATCTACTACTCATTTGAACTACTCAATAGATTGATGCGTTTTTTTTAATGGAACATAGGGAAATTACATTATTACATTGTATACAAAATCCTATGTTCGCATTAAAAAAAATCACTGTATGTATTATGCTTGCTGAGAAAACAGTTAAAAGCAAAAAGCAAATTTTGAGATTTTAGTCATGTGACTCCACAACGAGACATTTTGAACCCTTAGTTTTGTTGGATATTTTTGTTGTATAGGTACATGTTACCCTTTTGTATGATTTAAAATTTAAATGATCGCGAGCTTCTATTATTTAATGAGTGTAAGTCAGTTTAAACTTATAGCAAAGAGCTCTGGGTGAATCCTGAAACACGATTAACTGACAATACTAAGTTCAAGTTTATTGTGAAGATTCAAAACGTAAAGTTGTCGAGATATAAAATAAAATAAGCATTTACGAGCTTACTGGAAATAAATTTGCCACGGCATAAAACATGAAAAAACCGTACTTTGCACATAAATGTAGGAGCGACTGAAATATTAATATAGAGGATTGAGGTCTATTGTGCAGCTTTCAATTTTCACTTATATTAGGTATGTTGAGATTTTTTTTCTCAAATCATTAGTTCGCAAATTTAAATTTTTTACCCAAAATCGTCCTGAAACCTTCATTTTTTTCATGCCTACTTTCTGCCAGGAAATTTTAGTTCCGATGAGAGAGGCAGAGTAGACTACGTTTCCTGCCGCTTGTCCGGCTTGTCACTTTACTGGCCGCACCTGTCACTTTACCGGGCGCACCGTCACTTTACCGGCCGCATTTTTAAAATCTCCAAATGTCTATAAGGACTCCTGTCATCACTGACAGATTGACATTAATCAAAAGTTGTATATAAAAATTGAAATTTTATATTAAAAGACGATTTCGGGTAAAATTTAATACAAAACTCGTCAGTAAAATGTCATTATCTAACTCGGAAATTAAAGTACTCGGTCCAAAGGGGCCTCGCAATTCAATATTTCCTCGGCAGTATTGTACCATTTTCCTGACTTTTATGTAAATAATTATTATTGTGTAATACTAGTGTTACTTTTTCGGTTTGTTGTTTTCTGCACTCACTACCTATCTTCCTTGTAATCAATAATCCTACCTTTTTTATTATGAACGGATTCAAAACCGTTTGACCACTCCACAAGGCTATCTGCGTTTAATAATGACTCCATGATGACTGAATATACAACGCACCTTCACACATACAACTAGTAACACTGCTAAGGTATTTAATACATTGTTAATAATGAATGCAAAAATATAAATTCTGAGAGATCAAGATTAAGATTTCCTCTTGCGGCCGATTTCCAAATGCCATAATTCGATAACTTATCCTTGTGGTCAATCATAAATACTGAAGGGATAGTTGCTTAAAACTCATAAAATGGGCAACCTATACGAAACCCTTCAGGATAACCTACAGTTCATATTGCGATACAGAAATTGTTCGATTTTATTAAACAATTAGATGTTATATACCGTGTCTCCCAGGTTGAACGCATCATAGGCAAACAGCAATGTATTTTGTCGTGAAGGATCCACGTAGCCTTTGAAATGTATTTTTAGCGTCCAACGTACATACGTTATTGCGCTTTCCTGATGCTAGAAAGAGATTGGAGTAGTGCCAGCAAATGTTGCGCCTTGCAATTATGGTACGTCATTGAATAAGTAAGATAATTCCTTATTCAATGGTACGGTCTTAATTTACTTTACTATATGTAAACCGTCTAATCATAGCAAATGAAATAAACCCATAAAGAGCATTTGAAAAAGCGGCAGAGCACCTCGGTGTGACCCCACGGAGTCATTGGACTTGACCCATTTTCAATTGGCTTGTTACATGCGGTATATATGTTAACTGTGCAAAGTTTGAACCGAATAGGTTCAATCGTTTGCCAGAGGCAGAGAGGCGCGACCCTACTGGGTCATTGGATTTGACCCTTTTCAATAGACTGGTTACATGTGGCGTATAAGTCTACTGTGCAAAGTTTCAACCGAATAGGTTCAAGCGTGACCCCACGGGGTCATTGGATTTGACCCATTTTCAATAGGCTTATTACTTGTGGTATATAGGCCAACTGTGCAAAGTTTAAACCAGATTAGGCCAAGCATTTGACAGTTATTGTGTTCACGAACAGACGGACAGACGGACACCATAGACTCCCCTATAAAGCTTGCATCGCTTTGCTCTGCCGCTTAATAAAGCAAAGCGGTCTGAAATTATATTGCACTGCAAATACTTATGAGTAAAATCAATTTCTGACCCATGGATTCCTTTTTCTTCACAACCTAGAAATTTGTTGTACATTCAATATTTAAGATAGGAACTGTGGATAAATTTATTGCGCTGTTTCATATTGTTCAAAATATTTGATAGCAGTACTCCACACAGAGGCGAGTGTATAGTAATAAGTGAGTAGTAGAAATAAGTAGAACATATAAATGATAAAAATTATATAGTAATAAGTGAGTTGTAGTAGAAATAAGCAGTGTATAACGTGAGGTTAGTTCGGCGCTGTAAAACTCAAACCCCGCCGCATAAACGGCCAGCTAGCTCAGATTCTTAATTAAAAGAAGGGCTCGAGATGAGAATCTTCCACAGCGGTTTGTTCGTTTGGGCATATAACATAAGTTTTTGATCTTTGGTAGTTACTAGAAATGATTAGTTGAGCGCCACCCAATTTTGCACAAATTCTGACCTCTCCTGTATAGAAATTGGGAAAACACAAGAGAGCCAAATAATAAATTCACTACGAGCAATTCTGATTTATTAATCCTGGCAAAACGGTGCAGGATCGGCAAATAAAATGTATCTTCAATACGACAATAACAAATACTTTAAATGACAAAAATAATCCCCAAATAAATTCATGAACACTTCCCTAATAATTACGTTACCAGCCCCCTACAACAATGATCGAGCAAAAATGTAGTTAAGATTTCAATAGATTCCAAGATTGAATTAAGTTAACCCGAATAACAACTCATATAGGCAACACTGGGTACAAGTAAATTAAAAATCTTACCTTGAATAACACATACGCTGTCTTCTCCGAAAAAGAGCTCTCCTTCGAAGTTCCAGTTCTGTAACACAAAAACAAACCCCAAGCTACAACGCTCGGAACGATTATATGAGCCGGAAGGGCCAAAAATAGCTTACTCGTAGCCGGCTCGTTTACCCATACGTTAAATACAGGTGCGTTGCTCTTGAAGAGAGCCACGACCTCAAACACTAGACGCGAACAAAATACAAAGCTCCAATCATAAATCGTCGGAAGGTTACACTAGATTAACGGTATTGAAGCAAATAAAAAAAAAAAAGGTTGTGTAAAAGATCGTATCTTCCGAAAATTCCACAATCAGCTGGTCGCTGCCGGTATCGTTTAGGTGTTAGCGCTTATCTACTCGGTGGTACGCCGGATAGCTGCCGGCAATCAACAGGTGTTCGTACTCCGGAATATTCGCAAGATGCAAATTCGTTCACTATCCCAAAATTATGCCAGGTCAATGTCCTCCGCCCACAAGAATGTGCAAGGATATACTATAAACTATACCATACAAGGATTCGTCTGTACAAGGATTGACCGGTACAAGAATTCATCTACTACATAGACCCCCTAAAAGTAATGAAGATGTAACACTCCCTTAACGAGATTTTTAATAACATACCTGAAATCGTCAGGAGGGTAATGAAAAATACTTAAATCAATGAAATAGGTATGGAAATTATCCAAGAGGTTGTGAATCTGAAAGAATTTTAGATAACATAACGTAAAAGAAAACCAACGCCATTTCACTTACATGTAGGTAGGGCGATGAACTTCAACCAGATATATAGCCTCGCAATGGAGAAAACGGCTTCTGAGTTACACTACTCGACAACGCCAATGAAAAAAGGTAAAATTGCCAGAGATTTCACGTGAATGATGGCAAATATTACCCACTGGTTTAAGAAGAATTCACAATGCCACGCTCTACAACAAGTACAACCTCGTTGGCTTTAAAACGGAAATGAAAAAATAACGCGATTCTGCGCGAGGAAAGAAACACGCGTACAAGTGACGCCATCTCACCTATATCCTACCTAACCTAGCAAGCGGTAATCTTTGAAATTTGAATATGCATAAACTAAACTGTTACAAGTGGCGGATTTAACGGTGGGCGTAGTAGGCCTTCGCCTACGGGGCCCCGGCTCTACGCCGGAGGCCCTCGAAGCCCCTTAACTAAAAAAAATGTTTTTTCTGCGAAAACAATGGTTTGGGCGCCCATCATATCTCATATAGAGTCGGAAGTCATAACAATAACACTGTTGGAATGCTTACTACCGATATCCTATTAAGATATAGAAGTGAAATCCAATGCTTCAAAGATGTGTTTTTCACAACTGAGACCATCTCCCAGAACTGGTGCGTATCACAGTACTTAGAATTCATATTGAACAAAAATCTCGAAGAATGTTTCCCAGATGTGTTGCCGTTCTGAGAATATATTGGCTCAATATGGCAAACAGACGCTACCTTCAGTCTGCGACACTATTTCACAAAATTATTACTGACAAACAACCAGCGTATTTATACAATAAAATCAGGTATAGGACAGATATTCATAACTTGAATTTAAGGCATAGGGGTCTACTCACTATACCCCAGCATAAAACATCTTTATTCCGCCGTTCATTTAGTTACAATGGCTTCGGTATACAACACTGTACCTTAGTCTCCTCAAGGGTTTGACCAGTAAGAAATTTAAGTTTGAAATGTTTAATATTCTATTTACATCACAAAGTTAAGATTTTGTTTTCCTTATACCTTTTATTTTTATTTTTCTCGTGTGATTTTACGTCTACTTATTTAATATTTGTTTTTTATGTCACTATGGTGTACCTACAGGTTTTATTTTTAGCTGAAAAAGTGTTCTTTTTTATACGTCACTCCACTTATTTATGTGCATGGTGCATATGGAAGAGCAGCTTTTGCTGAATTTGTACCATGGGATTCCATGTTATTATTGGAATAAATATATAT